TTAGAATAAAAAACCGATTATGAACCGAAGTCGATGGTCAAGCCAATAATATCTGAGCCCTCTCAACGATCGACCTTGAATACTGGAAGCCATCACCTCGGATGATGATTTTTAGCAAGGAAGGAAACTTTGTGCTTGAACAATCTAGGCTCAGTGGATAGGATTTACTGTAAAGGCCAAACGGTCAAATGAACCGTGCCTGCATAGACCTCCTAAGCCATAACACGAAGCCTGTACATACTTACAATCTTGTATATTGCGCATAGGAATAAAAGAAAGTTTCTACCTTGCAGATACATATTTTGTCTCTTAAGACTATTATATCTTGTTCCTTAAAGATATCGTGCCCAAGGGCCACCTCTATCCGGATCCAATAAATCACCCCCACTCGGGGATTGTCATCCAAAATAAACTCGGACTACTCGGGTTATCAAAGCCCGGAGGTACAAAGCCTATTAGGTAGTGCCCGAACTTGAAAGGCTACAGTCACCCTAAAAACGGCTCGGAGAAATTCGAAGCCCGTAATCAAAATATAAGGCCTTCAAAAATTTCAAACCGGTTCAAAGGTTACACTCGGCAAAATTATAGTGTAAAAACACTTATCTCGGGGGATGTTTCTGGTTGTTCTGAGCCCCCGTGAGTTTCAAACAAAATTTACATCGAGAACAAGTCTTGTTCGAACCTCCGAACAATAACTTATTGTTACGTTTTATTCTATGCTAAAACATTTGAAATCTTTGCAATTACGAAAGGATGCTAAAAAAAATAGACACAAAAAATTGCCAAAAGGGAGAAAAAAAAACCTTATAAAGGAAAAAAAACTTATATATACATTCCAAAACAATTTTACAAAGGCTAATGAAAACGGTCTTAACAAAATAAATAAACAAAGTACAAAATAAAAAACCAAAGATTCCTAAGGCACCTACGCCTGATCTTCACCAAAACCTGCCTCGTCACCAGAGCTGTTGGGGTCTTCTCCGTCCTCTTGGTCGTCGGAGCTTTCAGAACCTTCCTCGCCCTCGGGTTCAACCAACTTCTTGGCCTTGGCCTCGAGCCTTTTCGCTTCTTCAATCTCAGCCGATTAGTCGAAACCATGGGCATCGATTTCCTTAAGAGTTTCCCTCCGAGACAACTGCTTCATATATTCGATTGTGACTCAGCCGAGGAGGAAACAATAGAGGTCGATCTTCCTCAGGCTTTGGAAGCCGATGTAGAAATGAGGGCTGAGGCCTCTTGAGACGCCGGCTCCGCTCTGCCCAGTGTCATAGAAATTTTGGGGTCGTCTTCGTTCACCGAATCTATGTTCGACGAATCCAGAGCGGTGAATGAGCAATCTAACGAAGGGTCCCTCCATTGTTTCTTTTGAAGGTGTGGACTCAACCGCCCTAGAAGACTTCTCTAGGTTGGGTGATTTGGAGGTGCTGAGGAAAAACCCATCTTCCAAGGTCGACAAGCTGAACTCAAGCCCAAAATTAGTCAACCGGTTCCTTGCCCTGAGCATGGATCCTGGCCTAAAGCAGTCAATAATCATCACCATCCCCGAGGATGTCAAGGTTTTTTCCACCCTCATTGGAGTAGCTAGCAACCCCCGGTGCCTGGTAACCGAAGAAGACCAGGAGAAAATGAACGATGTGGGCATGTCATGCTTGTTCAATGAAGAAGAACAGGCGCTGAATCGGGTAAGGCGTCATTACACTCTTTCATCTTCGGATTTTAGTCTTTGATATCTCTCATGCCCTTTGTTTTTTACATTTTTGTAGGCCTCGGTACTTCATCATGAAAGTTTTCTCCAGTACTGGGATGAGGTTAACCAGCTCGAGGCTGAGGTCAAAGAGCTTGCTGAGAAGAGATACTTGTATAAGCTTCTCAGCAAGCAACGTGAAGAAGCAGTCAAGAGTCTTCAGGTTGAGTTGGACGCGGCTCAAAAGAAGCATGCTGACCTGATGGAACAGGTAAACATTTTTGAAGTTAGTGATGACAAGTTAGACATGGAGACTAGCGGCCAAGCCTTATAGGCCCAACAGATGGTTGACAGGATCGACCAACTCCGAGCCGAGATAAACAAGGTCAAGGCCATGGCCGAAGGGTGGAAAGGAAAAATGAACCAATTGGCTTCGGAGAAGAAGACATCCCAAGAGCAACTGGAATCAGTAGAGGTCCAACTCCGAGTGGCGAAAGAGAAGGCTGAAGCACGGGCTCGACAAATTGTGGACCTTCAAGATCAACTGGGCTCAGCTGCTGCTGAACGAGATACCCTTGGCAAGGAGCTTGAAATAGCAAGGTCCGAGTCGGAGACAACCAGGGCTGATGCTGAAGAGATGGTGGCCTAATACATGGCCGATGTTAAGGCTTTCGAGGCCCGCCCACCCGCTCTTTGGGGGAGGTTGGTTTGTGGGCCGCAAAAAGATCATCCTCCTACGGCTCATCCCTGAGACGGTAGATCGAGTCTGAGTCTGGGGCTCCAAAGATGGAGCTCTACTTTGGCTTACGGGCCAATCTTCTCTTTGGTTTTTTCTTCTTAGAGATCGGGGAGCCCAGAGCCCTTATTTTCTTCTTCTTCTCTCCTGCTGCAGCCCCAATCTGACCTGGAGCAGAGGAATCAACGGGCAAGTCCTCGTCCCCTACCGGAGGCCTAAGCTTGATGGTCTTTGGCAAGCCTGCGAAAAGAAAATAAGAACGTGATGCTAGAAGGAGAAGCCTAATATAACTTATTCGGGAAAGAAATCTTACCATGGGAATGGGCCCCCCAACGATCCTTCAAGAGTTTATGCCACGAGCGCTCGGAGTAAGGCATCCGTGAGACGATACCCTCGATCCACTCCTTGAGCCGAGGGACAGCGTTTGGGACTCGAGCAACAGCTACACCACCACAAATACCGATGAGGAAAAAAGTGATGAACATAAAATCAACATTTAAAGGAAAGTTGTGCTTACGTGATGCATTCCACCTCTCGGGGAATGGCCTAAATCCGACGGGGATCAAGTCCGAGGTCCTTACCCGGACAAAATGCCCCTTCCAGTCTCGATCCCGGTCCTCATTGATGCTTGAGAACGCGGCTGTGCTAGCCCGATGTACGAGCTTTATCAGTCCCCCTCGAAAGATTCAGGGACTGTACAGGTGGAGTAGATGATCAATGGTGAGCCGACATGAGTCGATCTTGTTCATGAAGAATTGAAGGAGGATTACGATCCTCTACAGCGATGAGTGGATTTGACCGAGGCATACTTCGTACCTCTTATAGAAGTCTATAATGACCAAGTCCATTGGGCCTAGTATTAAGGGATAAGTATAAACACTTAGATATCCCTCGACATATGTAGTAATGACCCCGTCAGGGTCCACTATATCCTTATCTGCCCAGTTGCAGTCCTTTCGGAACTTAGGGAGGACATCTTTGGTGATCAAGCATATATATCTCGGTGCCTTCTCATGCCGACCCTGCACCGAAGAGGGTTTCTTAACCTTAAAGTCGTCGGCGACCAAAAAAACCCCAGGAATGAACATTTTCAAGGGAAGTTCGATAGCCGGTTGATCGGTAGCTACGTCAGCAATGAACCTCTCCAGGTTGACTACATTGGGAGTGGTTTCATCGATTTCGATAGTCGGTTGAGAAGAAGAAACGACTTTTTGGGGAACAATCTTGGAAGTCTTTGCCATTGTTATCCGGAAAACATGTTTTAGAAAGTGAGAAGGAAGATTGGGAGATGAAGGGTAAGAGCTTTGCTGAGAGAATCAAGTGCGCTGGTTTAGGGTAGAAAATAAATAAAAGTTTGCAATTTGCCGAGAGATCTTGAAAAACGAAGGTAAAAATGTTGGAGTATGAACAAAGGCAATGATATATTGAAAATTCGAATGTAGAAGCTTGGTTAAAATTAAAAATGAATGAAGGAGGGAGTATTTATAGAGGCTTTGCACCGTTTCACATCCAGGGACAGCCTGCCAATGGCTGTCACGCGTTTAAAGTCATTATGACGCGACTGACTGGACGTTTCAGATTCTTTGTCGTTTTTGTCAAGGTGTATTGGAGAAGGAATCGAAGAGCTCATATCGTTTCTCGTCATTTCCGTACGCTTACTCTTCGAGAAATAAGGGGACTATCTATATACGGATAAAATCAAGCCCATGGGACGCCTCGATTTCTGATGAAGTAAACGGAGCGAGAGACGTGAAGGCAAGGAACCAGAATCGAGGCAAGGAGCTCCTCGATCCGGAGTCCAGGCAAAACACCTGCCCTCGAGAGTATCAGGGTCATGGTCCCCATGTCCGATTCCAACCCCAAAGGTCTTAGAGAGCATTACCAGGTAATCGAGCACAACCAACAAAAGGCCGTAATATCCGCGACTAGCCGAATATCACGACGTGAATCTCGGCACGTATCGACAGTGAATTGGTGATTAGTTAAATGGAAGATTTTTACCTTTTATGGAATTGTACTTAGGGTAAAACTCTCCTATTATATAAAGTAGGGAGGGGAAGGGGGGGGGGGAGTATGATTATTCATTAGACAAATTGTAACACGCGCATCAAGACAATCTACTTTCATTTTTCTCTATTATTGAAAGTTCTTATTTTTGTTCACCAAGTGCTTTGTTATTGTGAGTCCGAGATCGAAGGCAGACATTCCATTAAGGCTGTTATCGAGTTCGATTTCACCCCCCCTACACACACATATAATTGGTGTGATACTTTATCACTTCTTTTATTTGTTTAATCTAACGCAATCTACTGTTTGTATTGAATTAATTCACATATCCGTAAAATCACATATGAATTTAATTGTTATCCGCTTTTGAGGGTAACCAATCATTACAGCACGAAGTATTCTAATCTTAAGTAAGAAATTAGAAGATGGCAGCTTGTGACGACCACATGCACAAATGACCCTTTTGATCTTGGAAATTCGATGGCTCTACATCTTAATTAAATTTCACTCTACCAAAAACTAATCATTTTGAATAATTACTACTGGCTATAAATTTGACCATTGTTTTTGCTATTTTTGCATCAAGAGAGTGACAGTTAATTAGCTATACTCATGGCTTCTACTACTGTCTCTTCAACATTTGAGCTCTTGTTTATCTCTTCTCTTTTGCTTTTTTCTCAATTCTTTGTCTCAGAAGCTCAAGGACTTCCTCCTGTAGTAAAAGGGCTTTCATGGACATTCTTTCAATCTAGCTGTCCAAAATTAGAATCCATTGTTAGGAAGAGACTCGAGAGAGTTTTTAAGGATGATGTTGGCCAAGCTGCTGGCTTGCTTCGCCTTCATTTCCATGATTGCTTTGTCCAAGTAATTAACTCTATAAACCGTTCCTTCTTATTTTAGTTATTTTTGATTAACCAGTCAACCATTAACCTGAAAGTTTAGATCAATAAATACTCTTCGATTTCATTTATATAACATTTTTTCTTTTCTTTTGGTCTGCTCTATAAAAGAATATTAATTAACAACTAACTATCTATATTTAGAAGCTACTTAACTTGAAACTATTCATTTTACTCTTACTTAATGGCCTACTTTTATAATCTTCGAAATATCGTCATGGTATGTTTAATCAAGATAAATAACTTTAGAGTATTTTTTGGTTTATGCCAAAATTTTGTCTTTCTTTCTTAAATGTTGCATTATGTCCAATCAAATAACGTCATATATATATATATATATATATANCTGCTTTTTACTTTAGATAATTAGCTCTCTAGTTAGGCTGATTCTAATATGCCTTGATTAGGTTCATTTTCCATTTTTTTTTGGCTTATTCACAACGTACTTTTGACATGGTTTTTTAAATTGAGGGTAGTATGTCTATTTTTTTTTTTATGAATGTATAAATGATGCAGGGATGTGATGGTTCAGTATTGCTAGATGGATCAGCAGGAGGTCCTAGTGAGAAGACTGCAATACCAAATTTGACACTAAGAAAAGAGTCATTCAAAATCATTGATGATCTTCGAGAAAGAGTGCATAAGGAGTGTGGAAGAATTGTATCTTGTTCTGATATTACAGCCCTTGCTGCGAGGGATGCAGTTTTCTTGGTAATTTATTTATACATTCTTCTTTCCATATAGTGCGTACCTTAATGGAAATGTAGGTCCATTAATAATTAAACACTTTATATGACTATTTCGAGTGATTGCTGCTAACTGGCTTGAGTTAGACAAGCAGAGAAGGATCTTATGCCACTCACCGGTGATCGATCTGTCTATCTAGTATCTAGTTTCCCGTCCGATTAATTACTATCTATATTACATATACCTATATTACACAGACTCTTCAAAATGTTGTCGTACTGATGTCGAATCTTCCAAAAATACACTATTTTTGAAGATTGCAACACACCCAATAATATTTTCGAAAAATTCGACTAACTTAGATTACTGCACTAGTTACCCATTTAAGAAACTTCACCTCGGAAAGCCAATTGGAGTTGCAACTTTAACTATAAAAAGTGATTGTGGTCTCATTATATTCTTGTCTCGATATACAGTTTCTTTATGCAATTCACGGAATAAAATATAAATTAGTTAAATTTCCTATTTCTCCCAGGAAACCATAATTCCATTAACATTTTAGGTAAACATATTTAATCTTTTTCCTCTCCCACGTATATTTGACCTTTACTTATTTGAAATTTGAAGTTATAACTTATAACCTCTCCACTTGTGTACCGCAAAAGTTACGGACTATTATGAACTAACTATTTAACAGCTCAAATGTTGTACTGTTAACTTTCTACTCATAATAGTCTGTATATAACATACATATATCTTTGTATAAAAGGACCAAAAATATATATTTTAATTAATGAAGGTAAAATATGTTCAATCAAACATCAGAGGACTAAAATAAAAATTTACCAATGACTTCGAACCCAAAGATACAATTACTCCAACAAGAAAAACACTTATTAGGATACAAATATCTTATTTGCTGATTTAATACTTATCTATCATTGTTCCAGACTGGTGGCCCAAACTATGTTGTACCATTGGGAAGAAGAGATGGACAAAACTTTGCGACAGAACAAGCAACCTTAGACAACCTTGTTGCACCAACAGCCAACACTACAACCCTCCTCGCTCGCCTTGCAGCTAAGGACTTCGACCCCACCGATGTCGTCGCCCTCTCCGGGGCCCACACCATCGGAATAAGCCACTGCACTTCCTTCACGGAGCGTCTATACCCTAACCAAGACTCCACCATGGACAAAACATTTGCCAACAACCTTAAAACCAGTTGTCCAACTGCGAACTCCAACAACACTGTCAACATGGATATCCTAAGCCCTAACGTTTTCGACAACAAGTACTACGTTGATCTCATCAATAGGAAAGGGCTTTTCACATCGGATCAAGATTTGTTCACGGATAGAAGGACTAAGAACATTGTCACAAGCTTTGGTGCGAATCAGACACTTTTCTTTAACAAGTTTGTGAATGCCATGATTAAGATGGGACAGTTGAATGTTTTGACTGGCGGACAAGGTGAAATTAGGGCTAAGTGTTCTGTGAGGAACAAGGATAAGTTGTTGGCTGCTGTTGTCGAAGGGTTGGAGAAAACCTTGGCTGCTGCACTTTAAGTTAAGTAACTTGTTTTTAGTCTTTTGTTAATGTGTTTCTTGTACGTAATAATTAGAAGCCAAATGTTTCCATGATCTGCCGAATACGGGCATGACATGGCATGGCGTTGCTGTTGTTTTTTTCTGTAATTTTGTTTTTGTTTAAATATATTGAATATGTTATTCAAACTCTTAATTATAATTAGAACTACTACTTAATCCACAAACTTCAGCATATAAACCCAGGTTAAATTTGAGAATAAAAGCCAACAGACAACCTATGATTAATTTTAATGAAATTAAATAACACACTAAGAGAGGAGTTGAGGCAGAAGAATCTCTTCAGCGTTAGTGATTGCAAAATGTATTGGCAAAGCGATGGAGACTACCTTGCTGTCGAAGTTGACCGGTGTATTGGTAAAAGAAAGGCTCAACACGTGGACCGTTTAAATCTCTACACGTGTCAAGTAAGTAGCAAAACTCGGACAGAATTTGAAGAAACATTCGGTACTACATAGTGACTACGTAGCTATAAGCATCGGAACTAATTATAACGGAATCTGCGCCAAATTTGGTACGAAAAGGAGAAAGAACCAGCCAATCCCGCATAAAGCAGGATCATCAATGTAACGGGTAGAAAATATAACTAATGCAGAAGAACGTGATATTAGGAAAATGGTTACGGATAAATTCACAATTTAAACCCCATTTTCCCTTTAATTATTTCCATTTGAAAATTACTATATTATTCCGGTAATCAAAGCATTGTGTTTATGTCAATTCTAGATTCAAGAGATATTAGAAAGGAGCTATTCTAATCAATAAGAATTCTCTTCCCTTTTTATTTCATCACTTTATAATTTTGTTTATCGCTTATGTTATTTCATGTTGTTTTTATTTGGCAAATTGATTCAAATTGGTTGTTAGTGCCTTGAAATACAAATTTAATTATTTTGACCTAATAATCTTGTTTACCCTAAAAAACGGATAACAATTGAATTTATACGCGGTTTTAAGTATACGTGATATAGTTTGACACAAATTAAGAATACAGATTAATATTGAAATTGATGTTAAAAGAATAAATGCAAACCACACGAATTAAATAGACTTGGCCCTCGAGTTCAATCACCCTTGAATCAAAGATGTTTCAACTGATGTACGAACAGAGTAACAAGATAATAAAAGCTGGAAAAATGACAGTATGTTGCATTATGCTACGTAAATATGATGATATTTTACAAATAATCAGGCCCCCTTATATAGTAGGAGACCAATACTATTGATACAGTTCTATATGAGGTAAGAAATCTCATGATTAGCTAATTAATCGGCCTCTTCTTGATATGTGCCGGGATTTTTACCGTGATCCTCGATCGATTATGATATTTCGGCTTTCTGTTATTTGGCTCGGTAAGTTTCCCTCGATTATTCTCGATCTTAATCTTGATCGGTCACCGGGTCGTGAGCTCGACGATCTAACTTTGCACCACGGTTCGATATCACATGAGGTCGATCCTTAACCTATCATATTCCAGTCTCGATTAGTAACACAAGGGGCGAGCCTGATTTTGACCGTATACAGATAGTCCCCTCGTTTCTTGGAGAGAAGATGATGAAAAACGATATAAACTTCCGAATCCCGCCTCGATGGGCCGTGACATAAGTGACAAACGGTCACTAAGACACCCGACTATGACGTAAGCAACAAATGGATACCGAAATGTCCCGTCGGTCCAGTTACCAACACATTAAATGCTTGTTAGTTACTGGTCAGCCACTATGGGTTCTGAATCGTCACCAATAAACTATAAGTACCCTAACTTTCCTTTATTCAAACTTTACGTTCAAATCTCCTCATATTCTTGTTTTTTCAAAAATCCCTTTGCTTTGCAACTCTTTCCCCCAAATTTCTTGAGCTTTTAGCAAACCGCATATCATCCTAATTCCCTTTTCTTCTATCCTACAATGGCAAAAACTTCTAAGACTGTATCGCAAAAGGAGGCCACCTCTTCATCATGACCCGCCGGCGATGGGGCTGCTGATAACTAGGGATATTGATGCATTTTACACTCCTTCTTGCTTAAGTTTTGATTAGAAATGTGTACAAAATAGTCCCAAAGACTCACAAGTTGTACTTGTTGCAGGATTTGATCAACAAGATGACAATTTGTCAAAAACCAGCTAAATAAGGAGTGAAACATGCACAAGTACCAAGACCAAGCTCAGTCAAACAGGGCTAGTGCGGCCGCACACCATTTTGTGTGGTCCGCAAAGATGAAGAACAAAGAGTATGCTTCTCAGTCAGCCAGGCAATGCGGCCGCAAAGGATTTTGTGCGGACTGCATTGATTTCATTGCGGCCGCACTCAATTTCGTGCAGTCCGCAAAGCCAAAGTTTAGAGAGATGACAATTGGAGGGTTATGCTTAATGCAGTCCGCGGTCCATTTTGTGCGGACCGCAACAGAAGCCACCGCGGCCGCGGTGCATTTTGTGCGGTCCGCAGTGGCCAACTTTAGAGAGGAGATTAGTCAAGCCAAGAGCCTTAGTGCGGCCGCACTTGATTTTGTGCGGTCTGCACTAGCCCCGCAGGGGTATTTTTGTCCAGAATTTTCAGCCTAGTATAAATAGTCTCTTTTCTCATTTTTAGGTCATCAGATAGATTTTGGGATAGAGCTGCGCTCGTGAACTCCTCTCTTTTACCATTTTGAGTAATTTTAGCTTAGTTTCAACATTGAATCTTCAAGTTTTATCTAGCAATTAATTATTATGGGTTTTTCTTCATCTATTTTTTTGTTTTCTTCTATAATTATGAGTAGCTAGACCCATTAGCTAGGGTTGTGGCTCAACCCTAGTGTGGGTAATTGATGAGTCTTGTGTTTTGATGCTTAATTGTCTATGTGTGTTTGATATATGGACTAATTTAGGGTTTTAATGTTGAATTAGTGGTTGTAAACACTAGTTTATGCCTAGTAGACTTTGGTTCTTCTTGAGAAAGAGAGTCTAAGTCCATGAAATTGATCCAACAAGGAATTGGGGCGTATTCAAGAGATTGATAGCCCCAATTAAAGGGTTAAACCTAGAGATAGTAATACCCGACTTGAACCTCAATTGCTTGCACAAATTTGCATACCCAATTGGTCTTGAGAAAGTCAATTCAGGCAAAATCACTCGAACTACCGAGAGGTATAGAGTGAGTAGAATCGTGCAATGGTTATATCATACTCCCCAAATGTGACAATCTAGCCTTAGACTCAAGAATTTGTCAATTAAGCACCTAGGAGAAAGTGATTACCCTAGTGCCTTTTATCTATTTGATCAACTCTCAATAGTTTAATCTTAGCTTTCCTTAGCCTAATTTAGCATCGTAGTAATATAAAATTAGAAGTAAAATCAAAACAACCGATGTTTAGAAGTGTAATTAGGAACAATTACACAACTCCCATTTAGATAGAAACTCAACTCCAATATCTAGCTCCCTATGGAAATCGATCCCGACCTTCTCGGGTAAAAGTTGCTTCGACCTCTCTTGCTACTTCATAGTAGTTCAGGGTTGGCCTCGATCACTTTTTGGCGCCGTTGCCGGGGAGCTAACGATTTTGGCTATCTATCTAAATAGTTTTGTGTATTGTTCTTCTTTCCTTCGGTGTTACTAATTTGTGTGTGTCACAACTTCAGGTACAAAATGGCAGCAAATGCTAATGACCCTCTTAGAAATGTGATTGCGGGAGATGAGGTAGATGATGTCGAAGATGATAAGGTGCCTCTTGTACCTCAAGGACAATGTAGAGGCCGCCAGGCCAATGCTAATGGCAATGACAATATTCCAGACCCTCCTCCGCCACCTCCAAGAGTGGCTCCTTGAGTTCTTCCAAACCAAGGCTATGCAAGTGCAATTGTCCCACCTCGGATTTGGGCGGGAAATTTTCAAATTACCAATGTGATACTGACATTGCTAGTGCATCGTGGGTATTTCACGGGCGCTGCCAATCAAAATGCGTACAAATATCTCAAGGGGTTCGTGGATACTTGTTGGGGGAGCAAGCAAATAAATCTGTCCGAGGATGCACTTCGATGGAGACTCTTCCCATTCTCACTTAGAGGGAAGGCATTGGATTGGCTTGCTCAACTTCCCAACCATTCCATCACTACTTGGGATGAGTTGGCGGACAAGTTCATTGCAATTTTTTTCTCACCGGGGCATATGGCAGCATTGAGAGATGAGATCTTGTCTTTCAAGTAGGAGCCCACTGAACCATTGCATGAGATTTGGGAGCGCTATAGAACAATGGTAAAGGAATGCCCCAACAATGATATGACTGAGGTGATGATTCAATAGACTTTCTACCGGGGCATTAACACAACAAACCAATGCATAGTGAACCAACTTGCTGGGGGCAACTTCATGAAGCTGTCTTATGATGAGGCTTGTGACATTCTTGATGAGATGACTGACACTTCTTCTGATTGGCAAGGTAGAGCCAATGTGCCCCAGGGTAACCCCACAGTCACTTATTTGCACAAGGAGTTAAATGATCATGGGCAGCTATATCTGAGTTGACAACTACAATGAACCAACTAGCAAAGGCACAGTTGCAACAAGTTCAAAATCCTCTCCAAGTGAATGCTATGGAGAGTGTCAACATGCTAGTTAACAAAAGAAGACAAAGAGGTCAACAGAACTAAGGGAATTCAGAGCAATTTGACAATGATTGTGGTGGATTCCAAGATGATGGTTATGAGGGGCAGAATAAAGAGGTGCAATACGTGAACAATTATCAAGGCCAAAGGGGCAATTCTTCCAACCAACAACAATGGAGACCCCAAGGCAATTTGGGGCAATCAACAACAACAAGGCAATGGTAATTGGGGGAACAACAACCAAAACTCCAACTGGGGTAATCAGAACAATAATCAGAACAATAATTAGAACAATCAGGGTAATTGGAATGGGAACACAACAATTGTGGTGGTACCAACAATCAAGGTGGATGGAACAATGGCAATTAAGGAAACTGGGGAAAGGCTTTCAAAGGCCCACAATGTACCAACAACCAAACAATCCACCCCCATTTCCATCCCAATGCCCTAGTTCTTCCAACAACAATATGGGGAGAATTGAAATGATGTTTGAACAGATGATGAAAAAGAGTGCGGATTTCGATGCTCAGTTGTCTTCCCACAATACT